ATTCCAATATGTGTCGCAATATTTATATAATGTTTAAAACAATTTAAAAATAAGTTCATTTCCCTCGTTGCGCTGGATTTCCAAATATTTTGGCAACATCGAACATTTTTTATTTAAATCGTAAATCAACGATGACCTTCCCAATTTGAGGCCGTCCATCTCCCAATTATTGTGATGCGACAGATGCACCGGGGACGTGCCAAAATATATCCTGTTTTTGGACAACTGTCAGCTGCTCTTAGGGTTGCTATGTATAAATTTGAACGATTAATTATTTTGATAAACAAATACCTATATTTTATTATATAGATAAATAGATAGATAGATACTCTTTATTGTTTCCTCCAAAAGATTACAATAGTAAACTTATTATAAATATAAACAATTACAAGAAATAATCACAATGAGAAAACAATGGGCGACCTTATCGCTAAAAGCGATCTCTTCCAGGCAACCTCCTTCCTAATCACCGCGACTCATACTGTATTGTTATCCTTTCCTTCATCATCATATCAGCCGTCAACTGCCCACTCCTCCTAATGGAGAGTCTTGCCAATAGTTGCCACGCTTGCCAGGTAGGTTGGCAACCGCAGTTAGGCTTTGGTGATGTTTTAAGGGTAACGCTGCTGCTCATCTCTTGAGTTCCCTTAGTCGCCTCTTACGACACTTACGGCAAAATAGTAACGCTTGAGAGATACCATCGATATCATAGTCTATATTGTCCATGGTGCTGTTTATGTTTATAGGCGATGGTTACCATTCCATTAGGTGAGCCGTCAGTTTGGTTGCCAAAATAAAAAAAAATTAATTGATATTTTTCCTTGAATATCAAAATGATGTACAACGTAAACGAAGTTTCGGGCATAGGTAGTATAAATTAAATAATTAGGGCTGTAAACTCCAGAAAACTTAATCTACATTTGCATTTTTGACTTTGTTATGTTCATTTGTTAGTCAGTACGTATAGTATGTGGTATCTCCTGGCACAACCCTCGCATTTAAGTGCAAAACAAATATAATGACATCAAAATGATGGCCGGTCTGTTTATTTTATTAAGTGGCTAAAAATCACGTTATGGGTAAACATTTATAAATGGGTGGCAACCCTGTGCTGGAAATATACACAAATTAAGAGCGTTCATACCAGTGGCAATGATGGAATTGCGTCAATTAAAAAAAAAAAACAAATGAACAATTTTGATTTCCTTACTATATTTATATAAGACTAGTTTTTGCGAGCGGCTTCGTTCGCTCTTAATTTTTCGCGCTATTAGGAATGACTTTTTCAAAAGTCAATAAATTTTTGTATGGAACCAATAGTCATTTCACATGTTTAACTTTTAAACTGATAAAATACTAAGAAATACATAGAAACTTTCAACCCCCTTAGAGGATGAATTTTTAAGATTCCTTTCTTATTATATTAATACTCTTTGTATGGTACTAACATCTTACAAGCACCTGTAATATGTTGCATGGTTTCGGAAGCACTATTAGAGTATCGACAACTGACTCATGGTATTACGGTCTTTCATTATGTGTTTTGTATAGTTTCTGGTAGCTATTTTTTAATCGGGTACAGCTATCATAAATGTTTTTGTTCCTTGGTTGAGTTCGCCGCGTTTTAGCCATTTGTCCGACGTACTCCTGTTGACATACGGTTAGCTAAGATCCGCTCTGTGTCTTCCGTGAAGGGACTTTTTGCTCCAGATAATATTTTTTTTTATTGTAATTATTTATACACCAAAGGGAGACTTTGTACAAAAGTCGTTTGCTTGGGCACCTCTATCCCATTCGTGATTCTACTGTGAAGCAGTTATGTTTGCATGACTGTCTTTTGGTTTGAAGAATGTGATATGGCAATGAATTTACAGGGTACAAAGGAATAACACCTGAGTTCTCAGGATTGGCAACGTATGGGTGCTATCATGGGCGAAACAGTATACTCTGTTATATCCATGGTACTGCTCATGTCTATAGGCGACGGTTACCACTTTCCATCAGGTGAACTGTTAGCTTGTTTGCCATTCAAATCTAGTTGCATAAAAAAAATTGGGTACTATTGTCACATAAATTAAGGGGTGTAAATCGTTTGTCTATTTTTATTGCATATGCAAATATATGATGCATAATATATAATGCATGTGTAAATATGTGTGTATGTGTATGTATGTGAATGTTAAATAATCACTCTGAATATTGATAATAAGAAATCTCTTATTAGAGATAAGCTCGCCTTTGTACATTACGTCTAAAATAAATTGTGGTTAACATTACATTTTGTGTACAATAAAGATAAAGAATATTGAAAATTGTTTAATTGTTTTGTAAAAATAATATTTAATTCTAACATTTGGTATGAACGGTCTTAAAGCACTAAGTCTGGAGTGATCTCGATTTATGGCCGAATTTTTGTCTAATTTTGGCGCAAATGTTTTGCGCAATACTTCCCTGTAAACAAGTGATTTAAGGATTTGGCAAGGAAATGTAATTTATACTTTAGACGCTGAAAGATAAGGAGCATTTCGCTATACATTATTTCCGGTGTTTGTTTATTTATTTATATAAACTTTAGTGCACAGTAGAATTCTACGTACGGCGCACTTAACACCGGACAGAGTTCTCTGCCAGTCAACCATTGTGCAAATTGTTTATCATTTTCGAAATGTAATGGTGTTATAACATAAACCTTTTCTTTTTTTGCTATATTAGCGACACAGATTGATTGAACGAAGCCAATCGTTCGGATTTCTTTGTAAATAAAATGTAATATTACACGCTTATAATGCATCTTTCTATAGGTTGAAGAATTTAAAAATTAATTAATTATTTTTTAGTTTATTCATTATAAACAAAAATATCTTTCCTCTTTATAATATTAGCTTAGATTATATGACTTTATATCATTTATAAATGCCAAAACCTATAAGAAAATTATTCAAAAATTCCATTAATCTATAATTGTTTCAATACAAAAATGTTTATCCAAGATTAAGAAAAGAAATATCCAATGTGCAACTCTGCTTCATGGGTTGGCTTTCCTGAGGACAATGATGACATTCCTTGGTGATGCTAGTCCTTCCTTCCTCGTGGGTATCGTAAGAAGCAACTAAGGTAACTTAATGGTCAAGAGATGGGCAGCAGCGTCCCTCTTAAAGCATCACTGCGGTATGTAATGGTAAAATCAATTTGTGGGGGAGGATTATGTTCAACAGTGGACAGTTAACGGCTGAAATGATGATGATGATGATATTATGCCTCCTTTCCTTTTAATTTTGTCTGTACAATCTTTGTTTTTTCTTTATCTAGACTAGCCCCAGATAAAGGATATTTTACCATCTATATGCAATATACTGGACAGATTATTTAATGTTAATGAGTGTAAAGTTAACAATATAATTTTTAGAAATAGTAAAATTAAAATTAGCAACTCATTGTATTTGATAGGTAGTTTGTTACTTATTTCGGTACTGAAGTGTTGACGCATTTTGATTCCATGCGTATATATATATATATATATATATATATATATATATATATATATATATATATATATATATATATATATATATATATATATATTGTATGTATGTATGTATATAAATCTGATGAATTTGTCAAATTAAATACGAGTTAAAGTCGAATCCTACGTCAGAGCAAATCTATCGCGCAACGGTTTCGCCAATTTGCTAAAACTTAAGGAATCAGTAGGAACAGGTGAAACACCAAAGGTTGGCCAAAACCCAAAGATTTGTCATACGGAGCATTCCAGTTTTCATGTTTCAAAGGAATTCCACGCGTATAAACATCAATTAATTAAGAAACACGGCTGCGTACGTTATTTTCAGAGTTCAGCATTAATATTGCAGACTTTAAAAGGTCACTAATGCAGCTCTTTGAAATTTGTTTATGGCTTTATAGTAAATTGACTGAGGCATCAGGTTTGAATTGTAGATAAAAAATATCGCGTTATTTCAACAATTTTATTTTATAAAATAGTTGACTTGAAATAATTTAAAGCTAAAATTTTTAATGATATTATTTCAACGATTATAGAAAATTTACCAGAGACAGAGACTTTGTACAAAAGTCGATTGCTTGGGTACTTCTGTCCCATTCGTGTTTCTACCGTGAAGCAGTTGTGTTTGCATAGCTGTGTTTCGGTTTGAAGGGTAGGATATGGCGTGAATTTACAGGGTACAGAGGAATAACATCTGAGTCCTCAGGAATGGCAACGCATGCGGGGTATCATGTCCGAAACAGTATACTCTGTTATGTCCATGGTACTGCTCATGTCTATAGGCGACGGTTACCACTTTCCATCAGGTGGGCCGTCAGCTTGTTTGCCATTCTAAGTTGTATAAAAAAATCGTTAAGTTAAAATAATAATTTGACGCAGTATTTTTTATTTACAATTGAAATGTTAATTTACAAGTCAATCAAGTTATCAGTCAATTTACTATAAAGTTATAAACAATTTTCAAAGTGCTGAATTAGTAACCTTTTAAATATATATATATACATATATATATATAAGATTTATAGCATTTTGTTAACTATACAAGGATTTTAAAAGGTACTCAGTGAGTTATACAGATGGTGGTGGTTGGTGTTTCATCGAGTGGCAATAATAGTGAAGGTGACCCCACATTAGATGATGATATTAAAATTTTTCAAAATTACATGTCGATAAAATTGCAAAAAGCAGATGTAAAGGTAAATTTGAGTTCGATGAATAAAGAAAGTAATAAAAAAAAATCATTTTGGATTATACTTTTTATCAAATAAAAAAAGTGACGTTATTTTTGTGCGTACACTTTTTATTTCCAGTAAAACCAGAAAAGAAACAAATGTTATATGTAAAATAAAACCCTGTTGGAAATTAAAACTGCGTCATAACTTATATAGACAGAAATAGCATTGAAGGAAATAAACATAATTATAATAAAATATATAAATAAATTTTGGTCCGCTTGTATGTCGCTACGCGCTGGACTCTGAATGTACTAGTCGTACATCGCACCTAACACAGTGCGGCAGAGGTTAGCGCTCGAAAAAAAATATCCTCCAGTGTCCAGTGAAGTGTTAACAGTGTTCGGTAAAATTCGAATTTGGAATACGGTTGGTGTTTTAAAAAATGGAAACGGCACCAGTATGAGATTTTATCAGTTTTTTTTTCTCATTAAGTTGGCAACACTTACACTGCACAAATAATACACAAAAATAATTTAAAATAATAAAAAAAAAAAAATACAATGAAATATGTGTTAAAATAAATTAGCGAACAGTAGATAATATATAGCTACGACAGTGCTACGCGATTTATAACACATGCTACGCCGTACACTTTTCACCCGATAGCGAAATAAGTTTTTATTTAATTAATTTACAATTATAGTTATATATAAATGAACAAAATGAGTACATGTATATATAAATAAAAAATCCATACATATAAAATGAACATTTTGAAGTCCAAATCATTGAAAATATTTACTAAAACGCATTAAAAACAAACGGGCGAACGGCCGTGATGCGTTGGATTTACAATCATAACACTGAAATAACTAAACGATTTTTATTTCTTATTTTGAACAGCTATTATTTTTTTCACCAACTAATTTAATATGTTATTTTGTGTCTAATAAATTTAATATAATGGATATTTTGGTTGACCATTGGTATATGGGAATTAAAAGAAGTTTTTTTTTTTACCTTGGTAATTTATCAACATTGTTAAGTTCATATAGTCATAAAAGTTTAATTGCAGTTGCCAACCCGTCTGCCAAGCGTGGCAACTATTGGCAAAATCCCCTAATAGCGAATGACCTATATTTAGCAGTGAACTGTTAATGACTAATATTTATTTATTTTATTTTAATTTTTTATTGCACACACCAGTTATTTATAAAAATATGACAGAGGTAATCAAATGTACAAAGGCGAGCTTAACTCTAATAGAGTTCTCCTCCAGCAACACTTAAAGTGGAAAGGAGCATCAATGTCAGCGGGTAGAGCAATATTGTATACATACAATATTGTGACAATTTCCAAACAAAGAAACTAGACAAAATTAAATTAATTACATTATATTTAATCGTATAAATACACATATACATAAATATACATAATACACCTATGCATATATTTACACGTACATACACACACAAATATACATATAATATACCCACATTTACAGATAAATAAATATGTTCATAGAGATAGAAGATGCTCTTTTAGTCTACTTTTAAAAATATGGTTAAGTCTATGTAATATGGCATCTTTATTAAAGAGTTTGGTGGCCTGCTAACCTAGTACGGTATTCCGATTTATAAACCCGTCGTCATCAAAGGTCGTGGGTTTGAATCTAACCGATATTAAAAAATGTCGGCAATACATCTGCAATTTAGTAGTAATCATTTACCATAAGATAAGCCGTATGCTCATTTCGCCCTGTTAAAAAGAGGTATTTTTTAGAGCTAACTCTTCGGTGATGAAAAAGACCGTTAATAAACCAGATTAATCAGAGAGTTGGCAGTAGACTAGCCTGTACTTTGGACGTTAAGTGTTACATTTATTTTTTACGTCGATAATTGCCTTTGATTATATCATCACGGATTTTATGAGTATCTTTTTTATATGTAACATACACATAAATATACTCCTACTGGAGGAGAAACTCTGGAATGCCAATTGCTCTGAATCAAACACACCTCTTTCGCTTCCTCCACATTCATCAATCTATTCATACACGCTCGTCAGTTACGGGTATTTTTAATTTGTCGCTTTTTAAGTACCTCATTTAAAATAAATACCTAATAATCAAATAAAAAAATATTTTTTAATAAAAATAAACCTAATTGTAAGCGTTTTTGAATTTGTATTTTTTTTTTCTGATCATCCATTTAAGAATGCAATTTGAGCTTTGAGATCTTAGTTGTACACAACCATCTCATGAGGCCACCAACGACCCGGTCTACCATGCTGCCACCAATCTGGACATTACTATGAACATAACTTGTTTCAAGATGGTTACCTGATTACGTAAAAAACGTGCCGTTTAGAACAAATAATGTCCTCTAAAACTGACCATAATTTGAAGTCTAAAGGGTTGAGGTTTAGGTTAAATGAGGACCAGTCTTCAGATCTTATAAACTTCAGAACGTTGGTTTGAAGCCAGGCTTGGGTAGTTTGTGCCTTGTGACCAGGTACAGAGTCCTGCTGGAAAGTCCACGGTATATTTTTAAAAAGTGCATTGCTGAGAGGTTTCACAACACGATCCAAGACTGTATCAAGATACACTTTGGCTAAAGTTTTTATCCCTTTTCGACAAAAATATAGTTTTGTGACTCCTTGATAAGACACGCCTCACCAAACCGTCACTGTGCAGGATGATGACCACGTTGTACCTCTCCGACCACTTGAGCAGTTTCTTTAGAACTGTGAGCGCACACTTTATCATTTTGCTTATTGTAGTGTTCATCAATTGTGGAAATTTTTTCATCGGTAAAGAGGATATTTCTGTGCCTTTCACCTGCGTATCACGACAGAAAGCGTTTTGATCGATTCGTTCTCTTTAATTGTAAAGATTGATTTAGGGCATGTCCTATATTTCAATGATAAGCAACGAACTTCTGGTCTTGTTTTATAATACGCGATAGAGTCCTAACGGGAATCTTCATTTCTCGCGATAAGATTTTTTGTTTCCTAATGGGATATCGACGAATTTTGGCTTTAACAGCATTAACAGCCTTTGTAGTTCTAACAGCAAGCGGCCGCCCCGATCTTTTCTGGTCTTCGACAGAGGAAGTGTTGTATCTGTTGATAGTACGATATATGAATATTCGGCTGATACCAAGCTTTTGAAGTGTCTGGAATATGGCCGACGGCTCCATACCCACTTTGAGCAAGGCGATCACTGCAATATTATTTTCTTTAACACCCCATTCCATATTGTAATTTGATACTGATCACGAATAAATATGGGAAATGGCGTAAAATCGAAAGAATTTTTTTAAATAATAAACGTGTTCCAAATTCAAAACAATTAAAGTTGAATAAAAGAAAAGTTTTTATGTAACAGTATTTATGGCCAGACATGTTATGTATTGATAAAATAAATTTTAGCCGTAAAACACAGTGGCCTGAATTTATTAATTACCCATATCACCGGCCAAAGTATTTATGAAATACCTCAAAAAAAAACTGGAGAAGAGTCGTTCGGCTGTTTATGTCGAGATGTCATAACTAGAGTTGGTTTTATTGTCGATAATTTAGAATTTAATAATGATTTTTATTTTAGATGTCGCAGCCAAATGTTATGTATTTTTAGTGTTAATACGATTTACTTGTATTAAAATATAATATTAAACATGTGGGTGTGCGGGTTATTAGACATGTAGTTTGTCAGAATAGCGATTAGCACGTATAATTTTTTTTTTTATATTTTGTATAATGATCGACTCAGTTTTGTATTAATAATGTTATAACTATAATTTTCGAATTTTTCAGTAGACTTAAAAAAAAAAAAGAAGTTTTGAATTTGGTTGTTATTTTTTTTCGATATTTCATAACTGTGTAGTTTATAAATCGATTTGGAAAATTCTTTTTTATTTGAAGGGATTAATTAACTTTCAGAATAGATTTTAAACAAATTTTCTACCTCTCTTCTACCAGAGGGAGACTTTGTACAAAAGTCGATTGCTTGGGTACCTCTGTCCCATGCGTGTTTCAACCGTGAAGCAGTTGTGTTTGCATGGCTGTGTTTCGGTTTGAAGGGTAGAATATGGCGTGAATTTACTAGGTACGGAGGAATAACACCTGAGTTAACTTTATTTTGCCACGGTTGAAGTCGGCATTATTTTCTGTGCAACAAAATTTATTATTTACTTTATAACAATTGTTAGAGAATATAAAGTATTAAGGACAATGAGAAATGTGGAAGCCTACAATTTCGATAGCTAGATAGATGGCTGTCTTCCTGTGAACTCATATTTTCCTTGCTGATTCAGAATACTGCAAATGGTAGCGCGTGCTTTTTAGCGATTCTTTTAATATTTGTAGCCCAATTAATATACTTAATTACGAAACACTAGCGACTTGCCCTGGCTTCGCACGGTTATTTAAAAATAAAATACAGCCCAAGTTACTCGCTAATAATGTAGTGTTCTGTAGACGTAGAAATTTTTAAAATCGTTTTATTGTTTTTTGTGTTTGTCCATTACAAAAGAAAAAATCAATTGCCCTTTAATTTAAATAATATTGGTTGTTTTTGGTTTAGACAAAAAAACATGCAATATTAACATAATTTATTAGGGGTTAGCTTCTTAAATATGACTTATCTCATTCTCTAATCCAATATATATATATATATACATATATATATATATATAATATATATATATATATACACATATATATATATATATACACACACATATATATATGTATATGTATATATATATATATGTGTGTGTATATATATATATATATATACACACACATATATATATATATATAGTATATATCATATATGTGTAAGTATATTTGTTATTCATATATATTTATTCGTTTATATTATATATGTAATTTTAGTATGTATGTACATCAATAATTAATAGTACCGCATTCGAGTATTCTGACACTTCCCTATGGTTGACTGGGAGAGAATGCTTTTAGCATTAACTCCGCCATGTACACATATTTGTACTAATGAATAAATAAATAAATATCTAGCAAAGATTTTTTTATTTTTATTTATTTATTTAAGGCAAACAAACAGCTAAAACAATACATAATTATATACTTAAATAGTAATTTGGCAGCCACTAGAATTTGCACAAAATAAAATACAAGTAAACGAAACACAAAATTAGACAATATTGAATTAAATAAATATATACTTTATAGCCGTTTACGAATATATAATACATAAATATACATATATAATTATTAAATATATATCTAATAATAATAAAACAGTAATGGAGTCGTAACTCATAACTCAATAAAAAAAGAAAAAATATCAACAGACATTTTTTTTTATTACTCAACTACGAATAATTAAGATATAATGATTTTCATGTTTATATTTTTAATAACAATCTAAAGATAGTACAGCTGTTCATATGTTGCACCTACATTTATTGGTTT